TTCTCTCATATGTGCCACTCTGATACTAACTAGATTGACCACCTTAAGCAACTTCTCTCATATGTGCCAGTCTGATACCAACTAGATTTGACCACCTTAGGCAACTTCTCTCATATGTGCCACTCTGATACCAACTAGATTCGACCACCTTAGGCAACTTCTCTCTCATATGTGCCACTTTGATACCAACTAGATTTGACCACCTTAAGCAACTTCTCCCATATGTGCCACTCTGATACCAACTAGATTTGACCACCTTAGGCAACTTCTCTCTAATGTGCCACTCTGTTACCAACAAGATTCGATCACCTTAGGCAACTTCTCCCATATGTGCCACTCTGATACCAACAAGATACCACCACCTTAGGCAACATCTCCCATATGTGCCACTCTGTTACCAACTAGATTCGACCACCTTAGGCAACTACTCCCATATGTGCCACTCTGATACCAACTGGATTCGACCACCTTAGGCAACTTCTCCTATATGTGCCATCCACTTCTTGACCCCCCTCCCCACAAATATGCCACCTTGGCACCAATTTTGCTCGCCTGTCAAAGGTAACTCCCTCCCATGAGTGGCAATAACGTATTTGTTTTTTTAAACAAACATCACAGCGGCAACGCGCCGCGCGTTCAAATTAAATTTAAAAAGCAACGTATTTGACACGTCCAGTACAAGTCGCGTTGAACGCGTCGCAAAGATTGTGCCGCTTTAATTGTTTAGCCACCCAACTACGGTCATATCATACTTAACACAGGTTAATAAATGATCAGAATGCCCTTTTCTTTAACGTTTTCTCCCGAGACATCAACTCAAAAGTACAAGGACAAAAGCATTGAAGTTTTGCTTGATAACGTTCTCGTTAAACATTAGCTTTACGTGGTGACTAATATATAATAATCATATATGAAATTTAATATTCACAATAACAATATTAATTATAATAATATTTATAAATTGTGTTTATTTCGGGTAAATAACAATAAATATAATATAATATATATATATATATATATATATATTAAACATAAATCGTTATTGAGTAAATTCTGCGTATTTTCTTAAATTCCAGACCTAAGAGTTAATTTTATCTGAGACTACTAATAAATTTATTAGTTGTCTGAGATTTTATGTTACATTTTTTTCAAGATAAAAGAAAATTAAAAAACAAAATATTTGGCAATAGAAGAGGGAACGTATGTCTGTATATGAAATGGACAGTTCGGATACGAAAAACGACACAGAAACTCAAGATATAAAGTTATTTTTAAAAATAGATTGGAGTGAGAAACTACAAGGTATAATCAACATTATTATGTTACCATGGAAACTTCTAAGATTATCACAGTTTTGTCGATTTCAAACATGGCGGTCCTTGTTTATAATTTGTTTAGATGCATTCAAAAAAATCTATTATAACGTCCGATTACATGAATGACTGTTATTTACAAAATATTGAGTAGCCACGTTTATGCCGTGCAATACTGTATAGGAAGCCTTCTTTCAGCTGATCCATACACAGCAAAGCCGGGCAGATACGATTTCTTTGTGCCTTTTCTCTTTTGTGATTGGTCAATTTAGTCAGTGCTCTGTCAATCAAATCATCAGCTGTCAGTCAATGGGATGCACATGAAAACATTGCGACTGTTTACCACGACCCCATATTGACCTTGGCTGCGCTGAGAATAGTTCCACCGGAAACATTGATTTTCAGATGAATTTTGCGCCATAAAATAATGCAAATTATTAAAGTTAATATACGCTATGTCAATTTGCCGGTTTCAAAAAAAATGTCATGTACTATTTATCAGAAAGCGAAAAAATATAAACAAAAGTCCCGGATGTCGCGGAAGGATATACAATATTTTCACTTGTAACAATACCCAAGCAGGAGAAAATGTCTGCCAGCATGCACCAGTGTAATTTAGCCGAGTGTCTGTTTCATTGAGTGTGTGTTGTTGTAATCTTACGCGAAAACTGCAACGATCCACGCGATTATAGCCAAATGGGAGGTTTTTGCATCGAGCTATGATTAATGTAGTTACGGCCGGCAACTGGTTTGGGTTTTTGGAACGGACTCGCAAAGTGGAACTCCGTGTGTAGCGACTCGACCGCAGCGGCAGTGGAACGAAGTTGACCTGGCGTTGGGGTTTTCTATTCTACGAAGATTTTGCCATGCACACATTCTTTTAAGTTATCTTGCAATCTACCCGTCTGCACCTAGGAAAACACTTTATTCGCCAGATCAGATCTCGGATGGTGATAGTTGTGAAATTGCACATCGTCGGACAAGTATTTCGTTGTTTCCACACACTTCCAAATCAGCTGACCTAACAAAAAGATACTGGATTCAGAGAGCGAGAGAGAGGTGTTTTGAATTGTGTCTGCGGCGTTTGTGATTGGAGTTAGCCCCTCTCTCGGGGACTGTGACTTAACTTTGTGGAATTACTCGCTGAAGACCCAAGGTAGTTATTGGAAGACGCATGTAAACACTCAAACGTGCCTGTTGTGGCCATCATAATATAAAGTCATTGTGATGTAATGTTTGGTAGAAAGACGGAGACCGACTTTTACCCAAGTTTAATAAAAGGAGGGAGCAATTCAATTGATTAGTGTTTCATGCTCAAGGTGTAAAACCACTGTTTAAAGAAGTGTGAATCTCACCTAGAATTCGTTTGTGTTTACAGGGACATAATGCAGAATCCAACACAGCCTAGGATGCCATACGGCCCCACCGATAAAGAACTCAGCGATCTTTTAGATTTTAGCGCGGTAAGTTCTGCTTAGTGTACGCGTGGCGAGTGCTTTGCTAGTGGCCACAAAGTACTAGTATAGCACGGCAAATTCAATTTAGAAATCTTGCTGTGGCAAGTTACTTTAAATCGCTGATATTATCGCTAACATCGCTGACAGATAGTTTCGATTAGATTTTGAAATGAAGACAATTTACGGTTCTGTATCATAAATTACAAACATTTCATTAAAATTGCCACCGAGTTAGATCCCTTGAAATTAAGAGACGTTACTGGATGTATTTGTTTTCATTCCGACAGCGGTATAGTAAATTTTAATTTAGCGTCTACCAAAAGGTATTCGTTTTCTGGAAAAGCTCATGTATAGTGTACTGGAGTGGATCAATTGAGGTATGAAGTGTGGCAAATCATACAACACTTAACAAGTTATTATATTAATAAATTCTATGAATGTAAATTGTGTTAGGGTTTGGTTTGGGAGCAGCGTGCGCCACAACGCGTGCGTTTAACAATACTTCTGGGATGGGAACTCTTCTTTGTTCGCTGTGAAACGCGCTATTTTCATTCGAGGAGCGAAGGATTTGTACTAAATTAAGCTAAAGCGATAACTCCAGGACGAGATTATGGTGCTGTGCGTTGATTCTATTAGGAAGAATAAAATATGAACTGAGAATTATCTGTCATTTGAAGCTGAGTCATTTGATACGTAACGTGCTCAGGATGGCGTTGTTTTTGTGTGTGTTTTTTTTCACATTAAACTCTGTTCTGTTTGGTGGCTCGAAAAATACGAATTTCGTGTTAGATATAGCATTACGAATTTTGAAACAATTCGATTTGGACGGCTAGCGGATAAATTGATTTGTTTATTAGTCATGTTTCCAATTAATCTGACAATATGGCCAAATTCAGTGCCGTCTTCGATTTGTAGCTTATTTATATAATGTTGTCAAAACTATCTTTGTGGGTAGCAGCTGAAACACCATATATTTATCGCAGTTTCCATGTTCAACCTAAAATCGATTGGTGTTAGACAGTTTTTAGAGATCCCATGTTTTATTTGCTGTGTATTTTTACACGTGTTTTTTTTTTCTTGTTCTTTTCAGATGTTTTCACCGCCAACTGGTGTTGTTGGGCCAAAAAACGGTGTACACGCCGTCACCTCACACCCATCAGTTGATGGGAGAACGCTCCAGAGGCCTCACTACAAAACAGGTGCGATTACAACTTGTCTATTACCTCGTCTGTCGGTGTATGTGTATATGCATGTACTGAGCTCCACAAGTTTTTACCGTCATACATATTGACCACTATTTGCTACCTCAATGTATGGTTGCCTTTGTCTTTATTAACTATGTTAGCAGCCCTTTGTGATGTCATGATGCAGTCTTTTGTCTAAAATTGTGGAGACCACTGGGGCCCCTTTTAAGGCGATACACACCACAAATCAGAAGAGCTACAGTCCAATTAGCCTGTCCCATGTTGATAAACGAAAAACCACCAAAGTGAATTAAATATTTCTCAATGTTTGAATGAACAAAGCCTGGCAGTAATAGTCCAAGATTTTTTCCTTCTTTCTTACATCTCAAAAAAAATAAAGCCCAACAAGTGCACATCAAGAACTTACCCAGGGGTAATGTAAATTAAGTGTTTGCTTAAAAAAACAGGATAGGCTTATTATTCAAGTTCACTACTGACTGACTTTTAATTAAAGCATTGATAATTTGCAAATGGATACCAGTGTATTATAGATGTGAGGTTTCCATGGTGACAGACCACCGTGATGTCACTTGTCTTGTGCACCGAAATAAGTTGATGATGTCGCAACGTGTGTAATAAGTTAAATATTTTAGGCTAAAGTTTCTGTTTTTATTCGTGTATGTTAGTTTCAAGTAACAACATAACTGTTGTAAGGTGCTAATACCTTTATCAAACAGGTGACAAAAACACTGCCCAAGTTGAAACTCTATATCTCTTTAGACATGTTTTCTGAAATACCATGCGGTGACTTTCAACAAAACCCGTCAATTGGAGCTTTATTTTCACCCTGGTTTGATAATACATGACACTGGGGTGATTGAAGAAATACTCCAGATATTGAAAATATTGCAAGTATTTTTTTACAGTGTTAAATTTCTTGAATTACTTCTTTATGGCATTGGTTTTCTACTGCATGCCCAACTCGAGCTCATGCCACAGGTCTGAATTTAATTTTGACTTATTTAATCTTGCACAATTGATGTTTCACTAACTTTAGAGTTTTTTTGTTACCTTAAAAACATAATTTGACGAGTCGTGTGCAGTGTAGCTATGACGGTAAATGCTCTTCTAATGTGAACTTGAATGATGATATTGAACTAAGTAAGTTGGTTTGTGTAGTAGGTTCTTTCTAACCACTCATTACTAAAAAGCCCGATACAAGCTTGGTTCTTTATACACGACACTGGCAATTCGTGTCATTTGTGTGCCAAAAACACAATAAATGAAAAGGAAGGCATTATTTTAGGAAGAATGCGTGAATGCGTGGACGTAAAGGGGTTTGTTAGAGCCCATAGAACTATCGACCATTCTTAGCCATCCCTTGGGTTGTATGGTTTTGTTCTCCAATAGCCAAGGAAGCGTGGCTGGCGTACGACTCATTGCTGCTGGAGTGAGCGAGCTTAAAAAGTTAGACTACATTGTGGAGGCTGAGTGAGTCGGGCACAAAGCCTGCCAATTAAACAGTAAGACGAATATGGAGTGAATAGCGGGAAGGATATGACAGAACAAAGGCCCTCTATAATACCCCCCTAGTTATTGGCTGGTTAGGATGGATTGACCTTGTAGATAGTCAGCAAGGTTTCAGATTTTTGTCATTTTTGTCCCGTATTTATGCACAATATCTGTTTTAATATGTAGCTTGTATCCCTTGTCGTTTAACTTTACTGTCTTATATGAAAATAAAATGAAACGTTTCCGAGAAATTAGGTGCTGTGATTGGTCAAGTTTTGTATCAATAAGACGTGTGTCTTATGAGGTAATCGTTTGTCGCTTATTACGTTCTTTGTGACGTACTTTGAACTATTGTTTGATGGTATTGCAATCTCAAAGGTTGTTGGATGTTCGTTTGGAAGCCACATCGTTTTGTGGGCAATTCCCAGTGGCAATTACTCAAGAATACTTGCTTGGAAATTGTTTAAAATAAGATTGTGTAGAGTCGAGTGGTTGTATAGTTTCTGTTGTTTCTTTTTCTGTTTTATGTGATGTTTCTCATTCTGTTCTGTGTAATGTTTCCGGTTCTTTTCTGTGTGATATTTCTCATTCTGTTCTGTGTGATATTTTTCGTTCTGTTCTGTGTGATATTTCTCGTTCTGTTCTGTGTGATGTTTCTTCTCCATTCTTGTCAAATAAAGTTTTACCAGCTTGTTGATGTTTTATACCTGAACTCTATGTTTGCAGTGAGCATGTTATGCTTTTAACAGAACACTAGATAAAATGTTACAGTTTAATGTCTCAAATCATCATCCTCAGTATACTCTCATTTTCTAAAAAAATTTTTCTCAGTATCACTTGCTCAATAATTCAATATTCTTTGAGTTTTCTGCTTTTTAGCAACAATCTTCATCAAAATCCACAGGTGTTGCCTGCAACTGTGCGTCGATTGCAATTATGATATTGTACCCACACATAAAAGTAATTTGTTATTTTCATTCAATATTCCATTTCTACTGGTACATGCATATTTTCAACAATCCTATTGTGGTTAAATACGAAAAAATTGATATTATTCTTAGTTACCATTCATTGCAATATTGTTTTGCATACCAAAGCAGCATCACTGCCAGGTAAGTTACTGAATGGTTCGGGTCTCTAAAATAATTGTTATTAGAACAGGAACAAGTTGGGTCAAACCAACATCAACATGAGATGTCAAACTCGTACTTATACTAATAACTAATCATCAAAGCAAGATTTCCTTTCAACTTATTTCTCCAATAATTTAAAATTATAGTGGTCAAGTGGCGTAATACTTCCTGATACATTCTCTATATTTCTAATGTAGCTAATAATTATACCAGTTTTCTAAACCTTGTTAGACGATCATCTCTTTCATTTCAGTGATTTGTAAGTTACATATTTCAAGCTGAAATCAATCTTCTCTCCAAGTGAGTTTTTGTTACGAGTATGAGGCGTTAAAAATCGTTTGATCTAACCAATTATAAGGGATAGTGTTTGGCTGGGCATTTGGTCGGAATGAGATAGGGGCTGGCTGTACTGAGGAGGGAACAATATCCCCCCCCACACGAAAATTCAACAACGTAAATCCCTGTCTTGTGAACGCTTTCCATGTTAACCCCCCCTAATCTGTTTTAAAAAAAACAAATCTAACCTTCATAATTGCTCATTATCTTTTATTATAATGGTGAATAATATGCAAATATTGGACTGTTATGCAAATTTCCCATTCAGAGAAGAAAACAAAATTATAAATAGATTTATGCGTTTCAAAAATAAAATTGCACATGCAGTCAAATTTAGTAGTCAATATTACAATAATTTGTAACTAAATGAAATATTGCATGATTTCTCAAAGTGCAGAATGTGATAATTGTTACAAATTATTCTCATTTGGCATCTTTACCGAGTTTCTTGTTAATTTTTTTCCTATGAACATTAAAAAAAATGAGGGTGGGTGGAAATTTCGTCCTACAGCTATCAATTGAGTGGCTTTACCTGGAATTTTGTCACTATTCTTAATAGCCTGCTGGTTTTACTTGTTGCAAGAAACTGTATACTGTATCATGAATTTTTGATTTTCTTCCCCATTTCATCGTCAGATTGTCATTTCATTCAATAATGTTTTGGATAGGCAGCGACATTGCTTCAAGTATTTTAATATTGTAGAAAAGATTATTGGGGATTTTAGTAAATAATAAATATATTGCTGAAAGCGGTATTTTATCTGCCGAGAACTGCAGTGTTCAAGAGCCGGATAGAAAATCGTAATGAAAAGAGTGTGACGACGACTTATATCGGTGAATTCTGTTGATGTATGTACTGGAGGTTTATTAATTAATTAGTTAATTAATTAGGTAACTGGCTTGATATGGAAAGTAATTAAATTTGATTGCATGCGATGATTATTAGAACTTGATTTAGTTACTTTGATATGTGTTGTGTATCTTGCTCAAATGCTTGGTTGGAGTTGAGCTTTGTCGTAAAACAAACACACAGACACCGGGACAAAATACTGGCATTTAGTGCTCGAATTCCCAGTGTGTATGATATTATCAAATATAATGTAGATAATGATTAGATTATAATAAATTGATGGTTATAGATTTTGATTATTTTTGGATATGTAATATTTGATATCGGTCAAACAGGTGAGATACCGTGCAGTGTTGTTGACCTCTGTTCGCTGGTGTACGTAGTGGTTTTCCGCTATAGATGTGTAGTTTGTAAAAGTACCTTGTATAAACCTTCTGTTGTTACAACTAGTAATTATTGGTATCTGAATTGATGTGTGACTTGTGTCAAAATTACAAATTGTTAATTCAATTCTAATCTATAACTGTTTGGATTTTGTTTCACTGCATAGATTCAAAGTTTTGAAAGTGTCTTTTTTGAATTTGAAAATAATTGGATTGCCTCTATAATCTCCGTTTTTACTATGAAAGAAAGCGGACATTATATTAACATTTTATGGTTTTTTTTTACTGTGGGAAATGTTCCAGATGTAAAAAGTGAAATAAAAGCTTTCTATACAATGTAATCAGAGTTGTGTGTTGGAGGTAAATGTTACAGAGTGTGTGATTGGTTAATAGTCATCAGGTGATGTCATGCCTCCAAATCACCTTGCTGATTAGTTTCATTTAAATCTGGTGTGATTTTGCATCCTTTTTTTATGTTTGGCCAAAAAAAGTTAATGGTTTGCAATTGTAGTTTGGGTTGAGGGATCAGCACCACATATTTTTTATTTGGCCTTATATGCACTCGGTAAGTTTACTTCAGCAATTTTACATTCTTAATTATTGAAAGTTTGTTTTTTAGTTATGCTGCTGTTTGAGAGAAAAAGAAATTAGTTGTTGTTGAAGTGCTGGGTAATGGAAGACTATGGGTTATCTTACCAATAAAACATGCAGTCTGGGATGACAAAACACACCACACAACTGTACCATGCACAAACCAGGGCAGATTTAGAACAAAGATAGTTGAATTAAAAATTGATTCAA